AACCCGTTATTCGGTAGATATCCTGTTATGCTTGCGTAAATCAGATGCAAAATAAAATGAAACATGGTAGATTTGCTATTCGAGCAACTTGAACATGTTCGAACATTTAAAATACTTAATCTCCGTGTTCGATTCCGATTATACTCCATCTGTTCGAAACTGTTAATGCTTAAATGTTTTTAATGAATAATTTTTAAGTTAGCGAGTTAGGTCTCTTAATTAGGTCTCTAATGCGATGTAGAAGGTAGGATGTTTCGAAGTTATTGCTCAGTGCAGGGGATATATAGTCATTAACTCTACACTATTTTCGTAGGATAACAGTTCTGCATATTTTTGCTCATTCGGACTTAGTTTCTTTCAATCTTATAGCGAGTTTATTGTTTTGAGCTGTAGGTCAATGGAAAGAAGCCATTTAGCATTAAATAATAAATGTAAAAGAAAAAATTAAGATTTTTAATTAATGAAGCTAGGTTTGAATATAGTATAAACTCTTGTGATATAAGTACGATTATATCTGTATAAATTTTAGTATAGTATATGCTATCACACCTTTCACAATTGAAGGAATTATTATATGTGTACAGTGATATTATTATATTTTTATTATCCATGAAGTAATTATATGATTTTATGCATTATAAATTACATGGTTGCATGAAATACGTACTTCTGGTGTTAACTGATTCACAAAGAAAAATGTACTTACTTAAATTATTCAATCTATTTCTGGATTATAAAACAACTTAACGTAAAACAGATCACACTAAATTGTGTAGGAGAAATGATTTTTAGCTATAAATCTAATGTCTCTGTATGAATTTGTGCCCATTTCGTACGTTTGAAATAAATTTTCTTTTGCTCAGACACAACCTCATTTAATTATTTTTTAGTACATACGAGTATACTCGTCGTACGTACCATGTACATTTGTAGGCACACAAGAGCAAGATTATATAGGTATGTTTAAATAATTTTAAATAAATTTAGTTTGTGTTTAATTAGAATTTTAAATTGAATATCTTATGATGAAAATTCAAAATAATTGATAGCAATTTTAAGTTGAGCGAGTTCAGCACGTTCGTTTGTGTAGAACTAATTGTAGATTTGTCCGAAAGCAACAACGAAAATCGGATAATAAAAATTATTTATATAAAATTTGTATTGTATTTGTATATTGTATATCGTATATTGTATATTGTCTATTAATAAATAAATGCGCAATGTTAAATGACATGAAATCGTTTTAAAAATGCGCAAATATTTATTATTAAAGTGCTTTAAAATAATGGATATTTACATACATATTGTATAGAAAAATATTTAAGTTATTGATAGTTCTGTAAATAATTAAAATAAAAACAACAACAACAATGTAGTTTAAATAACTGACTAACAATTATAATGAAAAATTGATACACGTACACATGTGTATTAAATAGTTTTTACATTTAAGTTTTATAATTGCATCAGATACTACTTTTTTTTTTTTTTTTGCAATAATAATTAGAAATGTGTGACAGTAAGAATTATTCGCTGTACTTTGCAAAATATTTCAAATGTTTTATATAATATAATTGATAATGATAAGGCCATGAGTTGTTTCTATTGAAAAAAATTTAAAATTCGTATCAACTTGACATAATATTGATTTTTATTACTTATGGTACATAAAGTAAACACTATTTACACTATTTTTCTAATTGAAAAGTATTGATGCAAAGAGAAATAATTACACATGGCTTAAAAAGATGTAAAAAAAAATAATTGTTAGAGTTCCAAGGGACTTAGTATAGAGTTCTTTAAGATTTACACCAATTTCAAAGCTGTACATTACCTTAATCCAAGATATGTTTGCCAAATATACTACTTTAATGGGAACAATCTTCTACGCCCACACATGGCATTATAGTAAGAGTTTAGTGTATATCAGATTTTGCGTTCAATCCATTTCTCTCCAACATCATCATGGATCACTTAGGCCCATGTTATGTAGAGTGTCACGGCATTCTATGCAGAGGAGTGTGACATCAGTTTGTCTATTTCATGTATATGTTATTAATTTTGTAGTTTTTTGTTGAGCCCAAATTTTAAAGGAAATATATATATACAACACAGCTTTGATTAATTGACGAGGCAGAGATAACCTCAGTTCTCATGACCGAATTTAAATCGACAATTGTTTTTTCTCTTACTCTCAATTTTTTTATTTGCAATGAAAGCAACTACAATTTTGATTATGACGTGCCCGTGACACTTATATAACGTGGACTTAGAATGGGCCGTAACAACGCACATTCAGAAAGAACTGCGTTGAAATATTAATTCTACGGACAAGAGTTGATGAAATACTAATCTGATGTTTTAAATTGAAAATGAAACAAAAGAAATCGTTTTATAATCAGTAATGTTATAATATAAAGAAACGTAAACAGACCAAATATTTATTTTTACTATTTAGCGACACCGGTACTTAGTTACAGCCAATTTCAATTATTCAATCAATAATAGATACTTCAAAATTCAAATATCCCGGTTCAATTTCAAGTGAGAAAGGTGGAATAGATAATTGTATAACTTAAAAATGTACATAGCTTCGATTAACTAGTCTAGCTTAACTCGTGTGCTCTGTGACAAAAAGATTCCTATATATAGGTAGCCTATCCATGATTTGGAAATTAATAGTATTCACTTTATTTGCACCTTTACAGTTTCGTCTAGTCTTCCTAATAACCTTATAACTTTGATGGATATATGTATAAGTGTTAATGTATTTTTATATATTTTTTTAATAAGTAAATTTTAAATTAGTGTTTCAAAAGAGATTTTCAAAAACAAAATCACATTTTACAGATAAGCGTAAAGTCTATTCTTATTATGTGTAAAATTGCACTTCAAATATTAGGTCATTGTTTTTTATGATATCAAATAATTTCAATGACAAAGTAGACTTTCTTGAAAAAAGTTCTAGCAAAACTTGAGATAGTCCTTAAATTTCCTTGTAGGCATTTTGTTTGTTAAAGGTTTCGCTTTTTGTCCTTCGTAATCCACTGTGATATCGTTTACCATAATCAATAAAAGTAAAATTTCGGTACTATTGTGCAATTGAAAGTTATATTTTTTAAATTTTTTAAAAAAAATATATATCGGCCCACTTTGATATTTTTTCGTTTCTATTCTAGCAGATTATCAGCAATGGTATTGCGTGAGTCAATATAAAGAGTTAAGCGAATTTGCTATACCATAATTTTGACGGTGAGATAAACATTTATATAGAATCAGTCTCATTGAATCTGGGAGATTTGGCGAATGTATTATTTGCTTTCATACAGCTGAACGGCTGAATGAAATCTAAGTTTCTTCAGATTTTGTTCTTCAGTTTTACAACTTTTTTACCAAATCGATGTGGTCTTAGTTCTGATATCAGTATGAAGTTCAATTGATGATTATTTCGCTTTGACGTAGTTTTAATATTTTACACATTAAGCTTATTAAACAGAATCATAATAAGAATAATAAGAATTAATATAATAATAAGAATTTTAATAGTCCTTAGTGGGATTACTGCAAATGTTGTTAAGACTAAGAATATTTCACTTAAAAAAACCCTCCAACCTCGCTCGTCATTGAAATCTAATAGTTAAACAGAGGTGGTTGTGATTATAAGGAAATCCCTTAATTCAGTCCTTTATGAGTCATAAGAGTTTCTTTGTGCGAGATTGCTATATTTAAAATAATATTATGTAAATAATAGAGTTTTTGGTTTTAAAAATACAATTTTTTCTTTCTTTACTTTTTCTTTCTTTATATTTTCTTTCTTTACTTTTTCTTTCTTTACTTTTCCTTTCTTTTCTTTCTTGTCTTTCTTTTCTTTCTTGTCTTTCTTTCCTTTCTTTAATGTTTCTTTCTTTTCTTTCTTTAATGTTTCTTTCTTTTCTTTCTTTCTTTTCTTTCTTTCTTTTCTTTCTTTCTTTTCTTTCTTCCTTTTCTTTCTTTCTTTTCTTTCTTTCTTTTCTTTCTTTCTTTTCTTTCTTTCTTTTCTTTCTTTTCTTTTCTTTCCTTTCTTTCTTTATTTTCTTCTTGTTATTCTTCTTTTATTTCTTTCTTTTCTTTCTTTCTTTTCTTCTTGTCTTCCTCTTTCCTCTCGTTTCTTTTCTTCGTGTCTTTCTTCTTTCCTGTCGTTTCTTTTATTTTCATTCATTTTTTTTTTCTCTCTGTTTTTTCTTTGTTTTCTTTCTTTTCTAGTTTTTTTTTATTTCTTTGTTTTCTTTTTTTATTTTCTTTCTTTCCTTTTTTTTTATTTTTGTCTTTTCTTATTTTCTTTATTTTCTTTGTTTTCTTATTTTCTTTGTTTTCTTTGTATTCTTTGTTTTCTTATTTTCTTGCTTTTCTTCTTTTCATATTTTCTTTCTTTTCTTCTTTTTATATTTTCTTTCTTTTCTTCTTTTTATATTTTCTTTCTTTTCTTGTCTTTGTTCTTTTCTTTTTTTTCTCTTCTTTTCTTTCTTCTCTTATTTTCTTTATTTCTTCTCTTCTTTTTTTCTTTCTTTTTACCCTTTTTTCTTTCGTTTTCCCTTTTGCTTTCTTTTTTTCTTTATTTATTTTCTTTTCTTCTTTTCTTTTTTTCTTGCTTTTCTTTTATTCTTTCTTTTATTTTCTTCTTTACAATTCAATCGAAATTTTTATTGGATTGTTGTACAGAATCGAATTGTACTTGTACAACTTGATTGTTTAAAGCATCAAATCGAACGACCTAAGTTGTAATGAAAATGATAATTAAGTGTGTTGTGTGAATAGGCTTTAACCTAATCCTAGCACATCGTTCCATCAACGAACAGTTTTTACCGATTCAAAACTTAATTGATAATAAAGTACATATAACTTTTCTTGCGTTTATATGCGTAAGAGTTATTCGCATTGGCGTGATATCTTTTAATTTTCTAATATATATATCTATATTTTATATAAAATAAAAATAAAACAAAGTTTTTTTTTCATTACAGAGCTACGAGGAGATATTAGCTGCTGTCAGTATTACTGTACCCAAATCCAGGCCAATTTAATAGAAAAAAACCAACGTTGGAACAAAATTGAATCAATATAAATTATTTATAAAAATAAATGTTTAAAAATATATAAATCAAATAAAAATACGGTAAAAATAATGATTGATTTAAACAAAATGTGATAGCATTTCTACTTCGTGTTTAACGTGTGTGAATTTATAAATCATTTGAAATTTTATTAAAAAAATATCTTCTTATAATTAATTTGTAAATTTATGGTGGTTAAGAGTGCATAAATACATATATCTTAGAGCATAAACACGCAAATGAAGTGGATGGTGGAGTCTTACTTAAAGTCAGTCGAATCAACTTAAAACGTTTTATGTGCAATCGTTCAAATCTCAGTTGAATTTATGGATTAAATATGGATATTTCAATTATCACCTCTTCTATTTCCACAACGTTTTCTACAGTATCTACAATTTGGTTGAATTCCATATTACCACATCAATTCTTGGTAAGTATATGTTCGTGTTTGTTTAAGAAATTTTTTTCTTATTTATTTATAATTTTTTTGTTTCTGTTTTGAGCTTCATATGAAATAATAGTTAAAGCAATCTATATACAGATACATAAATACTTGTATGTCTTCGAAGCGAATTGTATGTATGGTGTCTTATTATTGTAACCAGAGTTGTGTATACTGGTAAATTACCAGTGGCTTATTCAGCACAACAAATATAAATTTCAGTTTACAATTAAGCATTTAAACATAAAAAATGATTCATCATAATTTTTTCACACGAACGAATTGTTTTTGATTGGTACGGAGTTGGCGTGTTTTGACCTTTTTTGTTGTTTCTATGCATGGACACAGTGTACGAAATTGTTTCTTAATTTATTTTTATGATTTTGTACATAAGTTGAATGTATCTCATTTCAATTTCAAGTATCTATACATATAACCAAATATTTAATTTTATTATTATTTTTTTTTTTTCTTGCTTGTAGGTTGTATTTTATTTATTGTCTCCTCTGAAACGTTATATTTTATAATTATGTTTTTGTACAAGAATTTATGTATTTTAATTTGCTTAAAAACTCGTTTAGTCATTCGCTTTTATAGCAAAAGATTGTCTCTACTTAAAAGCATTTTTTTTTTTTTTTTTACTTTGTCATTTATTTTTTTCGCAATTAATTACTTAAGTTCCATAACTTTGTTATTTATTCTCAATTTATATTACAAATAACAAATTGTATTCATTTTTTACTATCTCACTACAGAACAGAGGAAGTCTAAAATGATAAACATTTTATTCATTGAGTTCATACACTTATAACTTAGTATGCTAAATAATATTTTTTATATAAATAATACATAATTGAGAATTGCATTTGTTCTACAAAATGAATTAATTTTATTAGTAAAAAAAGAAGAATATTTAAAATAAAGTTTAATAATTGTTATTTTCCCATTGTATTTTATTTTTTCTCTTCGGTTTTTTTTGTATTTAATAGCCTCGTAATAATTATATTCGAATGAGTTTAATGGTTAACTTTGTTATTTAAATAAAATAATAAATATTTAATGATGCAAGGGCTTACTAGTATCTAAATTAAATAACCTCGTAATATTTATTTATTTTTTATTTATTTATATCGCAACCATTTACATTAGGCCTTTTCTTTTGTAAGCTTATTACAAAAGAACAACTGCTTATTTTAAAAATAACATATGAAACAACAATACTGCTGGCTTATTTAGTCCAACTTAATACATATCGCTTAACTAATATGTAGCTGTACTCACATGGTTACCAAACCTAAAAATTTGTCTATTGTGAACGATTTTTGGAAGTACATACGAAATTTCCAGTTAACTTTGTTAAAATTTGTCACAAAAAAAAACATTAGAAATATTTTAAAAGTGATACCAATTTTTTTCAACTAGACATAATGCTGTTTTTTTACAACTCTGAAAGAAAAAATTACGCCTATTATAAATTTTTATTTTAACAGGCGTTTAAAACCTCACAAACAATAGTTTAGAGGTTGGAAATCATATAGTCTTTTTGGTCAAATTACATCATGTACAAGTACACGTCTGGAAAATTTTTAGCACAAAAAGCCATAACAGAACTTCCTAGGTATATATCTTGAAGCATTGTCTTATTAAAACACATATTTTTCACATCGATATCTTCAATTTTAATGCAAAAAAATTTGTAATCATGTGACTATAGCGATTAAAATTGCCATCTTCGTTATTTTCCGAAAAGGAACCTTTTAGCATACCCTTAGATTAAATTCCGTACTATATAGTGACATTTTGTGATAACAATTGATGCAGTTGGGATATTTTGTTTGTTGACATATCCATCAAGCGAAAAAATTACTCACTGAATCACTGAAGAAAATTCGATGCGAAATATTATTATCCAAACGTTGTTGTTCGTGAATCCAATCAACTTAAGTCTACGCATTGCATTGTCCATAATGTAAAATGACAAGCCTTAAACTAAATATATATAAACTGAAACAGTTCTGCCAAATCAGGAACACGAAATGTTTATTTTATTTATTTTTTTTCGATTTATTTATTTTTTTGACATTGAAGATGCTCTCATGACACCAATATTAAAAATTTTAAATTTATTTTAGTTTTGTGTTTTTATAATATTCCTATAAATTTTATAATAACTGTTATAGTTGGTGAGGAACGCCCATGACAACAAACTTTTTCTTAAAAATAATCAAATCAAAACATATTTTAAATTGCTAAAAAAAAATAATGTTTTTTGTTGTATATAAATACGTAGATCCGAAACCATCTGTTTAACTGATGTGTTTCGTGAATATTCTTTAACGTTATCTAATATTGGTTTTTAGTCTTCCATCTTACACCGTCTGTATGGATTTAAACATGAGTTGCGATACGATTAAAGATATGTAATTGTCACACTTCACATTAAAACTCGACAATTTCTGTAAAGAAAAAAAATAGTACAATATTTACTGAAGTGTATGATAAATTAACATTTAGTCAGTCGTATATATGCATTTCTTATAGTAAATCTTAGTTCTAATAAACTGTTTGATGTATAAATTGTATGATTTTATAAATTGTATTATTGATATTCTTGGGTACAATTTTTTGGGTAGTATATACTGATTACAATATTAGAGGGATTCAATGTGGAAATGTTAAGGAACATCCCTGAATTTTGGCAAGATGAATACCGGTGGGAAAGGTTTAGAGAAGCAAAAGGAGGATATAAAAATTAGTCAATATGAAGACAGATAATGGTTCGGATACATATATCATTTGAATATAATTTGTGTGTGCTTTGAGTTAATTGAACAGATGGATAATATACATATCTTTATATACTGCCCTGAACTAGATCTCAGTATGAGTTTCAGGCAACCGGATCACTGCAGCGTTTTTCAAGCTGAAGTATCTGCTATATTGGAAGTTTCAGATTGGCTGAAACACAATGTTTCCTCCGTTAAATTTATAAACATATTCACTGACAGCCAGGCAGCTATAAAATCCTTAAACTCGTCGACCTTTAACTCGAGGTTAGTACTGAATTGTCTTACATCACTTATGGTGATGGCTGAATATTTTCGGATACGAATTATTTAGGTCCCTGGACATAGGGACATCCAAGGCAACTGTATACCAGATGAATTAGCAAGACATGGTACGACAGCACAAATTCTTCTGGGAAAGAAAGTGTGGGTATACCAGTTGCTTCTTGTCAGCACCAAATAAAATTATGGACATATCAAATGTTTGAAAGAAGATGGTCAAAAGTAACCAACTGCTTAAAATCAAGGAATTTTGGTCAAAAATAAGTAAGAAAAGATCGGGGGAATTAATCAACTTATCCCGAGCAAAATTATCCAGGATAGTGGGAACTATTACGGGACACTGTCCGTTGGGAGGACATGCCGTGAGGCTCAACATCAGGACTTCCTTACATAGTAGACATTGCATGGAAGAGGAATCACCAACACACCTTCTGGTACAGTGTCCTGCCTTCGCAAGACATAGACTATCCTACTTAGGGTCACACTTTTTCTATTCACTAAGAGAGCTAGATTCTATTTCCATAGCTCGTGCCAATGGCTTTGAAGCCAATACCAAGTGGATATAGGGACAGGTGTCAAATTCTTTAGGGTATCACAATGGACCTCATGGTCTAAGTGAGTCTTCGGACGGCCCCAGTAACCTAACCTCACCTAACCTACATAGCTTTAAGTTTGGATATACATCGGTAGTAGAGTTATAGAAGAAAAAAGAACTGGTTAGCCTGTGTTAAACCTAAAAGAGTTTAAATTAAAAAACTTTTTGAGAACCAAGTTACAGCGGAAGGAGGGTTTCGCAGTTAAGTGTTTAGAATAGAAATTTTTTTTTTGAAAAGTTGACGTTAGATACGTCGGAATAGTTGTATGTATATTTACTACATTAAACTGCGATAAATGTATGTCTATTTGTTTGATACAAATTTTGTTTTTTTAAAAAATGTGTCTTAGATTATTCTCTTTGATATGTTAAACCGAACAGATTGTATTTAAAAAAATGTGTTTTTTTTCTTATCTTTAAGCTGGTACACTGTGTCACACAATGGTAACCGCTTAAAACTTGCAGCGCTAAGTTTTATTAAGCATGGACATTATTTCAGTGTTTTTTACAAAGCTAAAGAGTTCATAACAGTGCTATAATACATCGCTTAATTGTTTTGTGTATATTAAATATTATTTATTTATTATTTCATGAAAAAATTTTCAAGTTTCTTTCTTAAAAACTAAGCTATATAAATATATGGCGTAGTAGAAAAAGTTTTCAAAATAGTGTTTAGTCTTTACTATAAGCAGTTCTCATGGGCGTGCCCAGGAAATCGGAATCGGGACAAGCGCTAAATGTTGATAAGCCTAGTTGTCATACCAGTACTTTGTATTAAATGAAAAGGTTTGTACTAGTACAGTAATGGGTTATCATTTTGTTGTATATGTATATTATCTCTGCGTCAAGAACAACCAGTAACTGTTTTTAGTATGTCTTCCTCACAGAAGAAACTTGTTTCATATGAAATTTCTGTGACCATAACAGATTAAGAGCTCTTCCCTAGATTTAGTTCTGGACAAAGCTTTTAAGGGCTTTGTGTAATCATTAGTGAAATCGGTACAAAAGGACTCTTCTGGCCGCAGTGCCGGCTGTTGGGCGATTTCATTCAATTAATTTCAATAATAATAATATCTTCCTCACAGTTATGTTTAACTGTACATATCGTATCTGTTACTTAACATTTTTTTACTTGTATATATTATATTATTTAAAATAAAACTGTCATTCTTAAAGAATACTGTAGCTAACTGAATAATAAGAATTTTTTTAAAGGAAATATCGATAAAGAATTCCTCGTAATTTACTGCAATAGTAATTCTATGCTTGTATGACTGAAAATTTAGGTTGTGGGAATGATTGTTGTGGTCGCAGTGCTCTTTCAC